AGATGAAACTGGTAGTACCTCAGAAATATTTAAGTGATGACCTGAACCTGTGAAGTATGATTGAGTTTCAAAGAAGGTAACATCAACGGACATAAGGTACCGCTGGAGGTCATGAGAGTAGCATCGATACCCCTTTTGTGTTCTCGAGAAACCCAGAAATATGCACTTAAGAGCACGAGGAGCTAACTTATCTGTTCCTGGAGTAAGGTTATAGACAAAACAAGTGCTTCCAAAGATACGGGGTGGAAGAGAGAACAAAGGTAAGTAGGGAAACATGACAGAGAATGGAACTTGGTTCTGGATAGGTGAAGATAGCATACGATTAATAAGATAGCAAGATGTAAGAACTACATCCCCCCAAAAACGCAACGGAGCATGAGATTGTATGAGTAGGGTACGAGCAGTTTCAATAAGATGTCTATTCTTTCTTTCAGCTACCCCATTTTGTTGAGATGTGTACGGACAAGATGTTTGATGAATAATCCCATGAGATTTCATAAACTGCTGAAATGGGAAAGACAAATACTCTCGGGCATTATCACTACGAAATGTGCGAATAGAAACCCCAAATTTATTTTGAATTTCAGCGTGGAAGGTCTGGAAAATAGAAAATAGCTCAGATCGATTTTTTATCAAAAATATCCAAGTGCACCTAGAATAATCATTTAATGAAACTAACAAAGTAGCGGAATCCCAAGGTGGAACTGACCCGACTAGGACCCCAAAGATCTGAATGGACTAAAGTAAAAGGTGACTCTGCTCGATTATCAAGACGCCGGGGGAAATGGGAGCGAGTATGCTTACCGAGCTAACATGACTCACACTCTAGAGCTGACAAGTGAGATAAACCAGATACCATTTTCTGAAGTTTTGACAAACTGGGATGTCCCAACCGTTTATGTAATAAATCTAGTGAATCTGTAATAGGATAAGTTGTAGAAGGAAGACAAGATGTGAGTCCATGTGATTTAGGTAATAAAGTCCGTTTGATTCACGCCCGGTACCAATGATCCGCCCTGTACTGCGTTCCTGTATAAAAACATGGTCATCAAGAAATAAAACAGCGCATTTAAGTGATTTGGCTAAGCGACTAACAACTATAAGATTAAAAGGACTATTGAGAACATAAAGGACTGAATCTAAAGGTAAGGAAGTAAGTGGGCTTGCTTGACCTATTGCAATTGCCATGGTTTGAGACCCATTGGCCATTGTGACTTTTGGAAGAGATTGAGAATATGAAATAGTAGTGAAAAAAGATTTGTTACCATAAATATGATCTAATGCACCTGAATCAATGACCCAAGACTCAGAGGATGAAGATTGGGAGAAACAAGTCACGCTATTACCTGTTTGAACAATAGAAGCTATCTCAGAAGATGTCTGCTTACATGCTTTGTACCGAAGGAACTCAATATAATCTGCTAAAGAAACCATCCGACTATTCAAAGCATCGGTTCACATGTCGCTACGAGATGTAGTAGTAGAGTTAACTTGAAATAGTGGAAATAAGTAACTCCGGTGAGAAAACTGAAGAAATAGCTTGAAAAACACTGTTTACAGCAGGAAAACAGAACACTATTTCTGTGCCGGAAACATTGTTCACGCCGGAATCTACTGTAGCTGACGGAAAAACTCAAAGTGGTCGGAATGAAACAAAACCAGTTAGGGTAGGATCAGAATTACCAGGCGATCCTACTGTTCAACTGAAACTTTTTCAAAATCTGGCCGGAACAGTGCTCACGCGCCGGCGCGTGGGTCCTATCTTGCCGGATTTTTTCTTTTCTTTTCCATCGTGAGGGCGCGTGGACGTGTGTTTTCCGGTGGGGTTAACTGGGGTTTGGTCGCCGAAGCCTGAGGAGTCTTGTGGTGGTGTTGGTTTTTGCACAACACCAACAGAAAGTTATTTGCTTACGGGACAACCTTCTAAATCGCCGGAAAATTGCACGGCAAAGAGGTCTTTCTTCCCGGAAGTCGCTGGAATGATGCACAACGACGGGTTTCTCACTAATGCTCTGATACCATGTGAGAAGACACGGGAGAAAATATGTTATTGATATTATATGATAAATATAATACAAGAGGTCCCTATTTATAGCTATACACTACAAAGAGATATTACTCCTCTTCCAATGTGGGACAAGACTACACTATACATATCTGTAAACTAACAGATTTCTTAAGATTTCAAAGTAATCATTTCTTGACATGTTTCTAGCAAGGCTCATATTTCGTTAGTTCCTTGATAGTAGGTCTGAAAACGCCGACACACTTTAAATTGGTATTTGGTGAGAATAGTGCTTTCTATGTCTAACTGGTCTGGTTACTTATCAAAAAAAGAAAAGAAGTCTAATTATTCTTGTAGATGTTCCATTGATATGATAAAATGAAATATTCAAGATCTGGTGTTCTTTAGATTTTTCCGAGTCTTTCAGTACTCTGCTTTACTTCTAGGAGCATGCAACAAAATTCCTTCTTTTTCAGTTCATTGCACAAAAGGGATCAACCGGATATTAGACAAGTGTACAGGTCAAAGAGGAGCTATACAAATATTATTGCTCTCTGCAGAAGACATCCTAACACCTATACAAGTTCCATCTTTTGAGTACTCCTGAAGTACTCTAAGAGAACATCATACGTTCTGTTTGGAACAAAAGAAAGTCCCACTTGTACTTGAAAAAAAAAAGGAAAAAGTTCCACTTGCTCAAGAGATCTTCTATTCTCTTCTTTCCGAATTGACAGAACCATCGCTTGAGGAATTTCTGTTCAAGCATTGTCTTTATTCCTTCTTTCATTTATTTTCCAGTTTCCCAAAAGATTCTTCAGGCATTATCCATCTACTTCCTGAATTTTTATGGATCATATTCCACAGATGTTATACAATCTTTGCACTGCTATAGTAGNGAGGGGTGTTATAGAGAGTTTCAGTGTTACGGTCATCTTCTGTAATTAATATGTTAACTATGAAGGATATGTAGAAGGATCATTTATTTGCATTCACTTTTATATAATATCTAATTTGTACGAGTACTGAAGAAGTATAGAGACAATGGCACAAGAGTAATCTGCATAGTACTGCTGTTTTGATCTAGGATGATGGTGGTTAACATGTTGATTGAAGCTCTTAGTATTCTTTTACCATCTTATAAAGACACGTTATGCTGTGCATGTTATAATGTTAAGCTCTATGCAGTGACGGAATGTTGCATAAAACTAATTCATGATCTATAAGCAGAACGAATTTGGTGTCTGGGAGATTTTTTTGCCAAATAATGCGGACGGCTCTCCTGCAATTCCTCATGGGTCCAGAGTGAAGGTATGTTCATTTTCCACAGTGCTCTGATTGACTTTTGGGTATTTTATCCATTGGCTGTCGATACTACTGTTTTCTACCTTTCAGTTAAAATACTTGTGTCAAAGAATGTTCAAGAATTCTTTTTAGTTATATAGGTCTATTCACTTCTAAGCCTGATAAGTGCTGGCTTGTTACTCTTTCAAGGAGATGTGTTTTAACAAAGTTTATAGTGTCTCTGTCTCCCCTCTCGCTCTCTCTTTCAGCACACAGACACCCCAACCCACCCCTTCCAAAAGGAAACAATATAAATATTCATCTATGAATGAGCTTTCAAAAGTTGTTTCCCTGATGCAATTTCTTTATTATTCAATTCAAGATCAGTAACAATGAATATCACTATTTGATTTTCTAGGTTTGATCTAATGTTCTAGGTCAGAGCATTTAATTGTAAATCATCATTTCCATAATGTATATAACATATATTTTCACTGTGCTTGTTTCATAATATAATCATAGTTTATCGTCTATTTCTGATCCTGGTGGTTCTATGCCACTATTTACTAATATTACTCTAATATACTGAAAATGTAGATACGTATGGACACTCCATCAGGTGTTAAGGATTCCATTCCTGCTTGGATCAAGTTCTCTGTACAGCCTCCTGGTGAAATTCCATACAATGGAATATACTATGATCCACCCGAAGAGGTTACACTCTTTTCTCTGTTGTTGCTAATTGCCTAGTATATGGACTTGTATTTGGTTCGTCATACAAAGGAATGTGGTAAAGACATGATTAAATAAATTAAGGTATCAATCTCGAACAACTTTAGCTTTTAGATGAGATTGTCACACACTCCCACAGAGTAGGCAGAGATCCTGGGTCGAGTCTCACCGCCACTCATTATCAGGAAAAATTTCCTCGTGCTTCGCACATGAAAAAGAATTAGACATAATTAAATAAATTAAAGATGCCCTCTATAACAGCTTAAGCTTTTAAATGCGATGGTCACACTCAATGGAATGGAAAATCTTTATTAGTTTGAACTCATATGTGAAAACCCATACTAGAAAATTCACACGTGGCTGCATTTAAGCTTGCCATTATTCTTTTGTTTGGATAGTAATTGAAATGGCAAAATGGGTTTTACTGGAAATAAATAAAGATTGCGACTAAAAAAAATTGTAGATATATGAAACGATCGGATTACTTAAGGAGTATGCTATCCACTTGTATAATGTTCTTTTTTTTTAATTATAAGTAATATGATAATTTATAAATACTTGCATTAAGCCAGTGCAACAAGTGTAGTTGCAATCGTGCAAATCCTCTATTGTGTCTAGCATTGCATCTAATCATGTGCAACGACCAGTTTGCACCAAAATACTACAGTAGATAAGGTTTTACAATCGGGCTGTACTAGATAAAAATATTAATTATTTGAATATGGAACTTTATTGAGCATCAATTATACGAGTTTTAAGAGAAGAAGGCTCTAAACCATGGATAACAGGTGCATAGGGGAAAAAAAGAAGCTCCGGAAGTCTTCATGGCTTTTTGCTAGTTTTTCCAAGCTGCCAGACTACATCATTGAGATACACTAGGATTCACAACCTGTTAATAGCAAATTTTGTCCGCGGAAAGCTTTTTTTTTTTTTGATAAGGTAACATATTTCTATATATATAAAGTAGACTACACAAAAAATGTGTAGTCCCCCATAATTACAAGGTGGGATACAAGAGAAAACTCTCCAATCCTTTGTCATCTCACAAGAATCCTAAAACATCAAAAATTGATTCATGGTCTTCTAGGTACTCTCCTTTACACCAAAAATAGAAAAGAATTAAACACTTCATTTTGATCTTCTGAATACTCCTCGACTTATCTTCAAAGCATCTTTGATTTCTTTCTTCCCATATTGTCCACCAAATGCAAGCTGGGACAATTCTCCATCTCTCTTTATGACTGGAGTGGTTTCCTTCTCTGTTCCAGCAAGCTAGAACTTCAGATATTCTTCTCGGCATTACCCACAAGATTCCCCTTAAGCTGATGAATATTCTCCATAGTTGTAAAGTGACTCTGCAGTGCAAAAAGAGATGATTGATTGTCTCTGCCTCCTCCCCACATAAGTAACATCTAGAACATAGCTGGTAACCTCTCTTGATCAAATTGTCCTGAGTTAGAACTACCTCTTTAGCCAATAGCCATGAAAAACAAGCAACTTTATAGGGGATTTTAACTTTCTAAATCAGCTTCCATGGCCAGCATCCTATCTGATTATTTGAAGTGTTGAATTCCTTGTAGGCTGCTTTAACTGAGAACTTTTGTCTCCCATTCCGTTGCCATTTCATACAGTCTTCAGAGGTAGATGTTCCTTTGAATTGCTCCAGTGTTTTGTAAAACTCTATGAATCTGTCAATCTCCCAATCATTTATTAGTCTTCTAAAGGTCAAGTTCCAACCTTGGTCTGTCCAAACCTCACCTACTGTAGCTTCTTTCTGCTGGTTCAGTGTGTAAATGTCTGAGAAAAGATGTTTCAATGATCCTTGACCTAACCAATTGTCTTCCCAGAAAGATATTTTCATACCATTTCCCACTCTGAAATTTGACTTGTTTATTAGTTTAGGCCAAAAGTTCCTGATAGACTTCCAGAGGCTGACCCCATAGGGATTTCTCCCAGGCTTTGTTGTCCATTTTCCTTCCATACCATATTTTTCTCTAACTACCTCCTTCCATAAGGATTGTTCTTCTGAGGCAAATCTCCATAACCATTTCATCATCAAACCTTGGTTCCGTACTCTTAAGTTCTTGATTCCTAACCCCCCTGTCTTCTTGTTAACTGTAAGGGAGTTCCATCTGACCAAATGGATTTTCTTTTTATCACTGTTGCCTTCCCATAAGAAATTTCTTCTCAAGGCATCTATTCTGTTCACTGGCATAGGGAATAGGGACATCATATATGTAGGTATATGTTCAAGGAATTTTTCATTGAAACTCTATGCCACACAAATCCTTGCACCTTAATAAGCATTTTATACTGTAGCCATATGCTTTCCCCTTCCACCCCCAAAATAGCGAGCCTAAATGAAAGGGAATCCTAGATAGAATATGACACGAGCCGCACGACATACTCATGCCTCAAGCCCAAAAATGAGGGTCCAACACTCGTTCACGTGTTCATGCTGAACAATTATATGCTTAACCATTTCTTCAGCTTCCTTACAATACACATTGCAAGCTATAGCTTCAAGGTGCAATATTTGGACCTAGAGAAATACTAGACCAACTTTGCTGTCAGAACTCAGAATCCTTTCACATAAAGATATTCTTTCCGAGAAATCATTAAGCGATTAGAGTGATCTCTTTCTTAAGATTAGCTTGTCTCATATTTATTTAGCAAGAAACTAAGTGATAAGCTGGCGGAATAGTCACTTAGTACTGGTGGGAGATATACCCGGTGGAATAGTCGTCATAAAAAAGAAAAAAGAATATGTTGATAAGCAAGGATTTGTGTGGCATAGAGTTTCAATGAAAAAGCTACAAAATATGTTGACATGTTAACGTATGGATTTGAGCTAGTCCCTGGCAAGCATACATTAATAGTCTTCTACCAACTCTTCTTTCTGTTGTTCTCCTGTATATTTGTCCAGTTGGTTTTGTTGATTAGCTTATTTAGTAGTGTCTTGCACAGCAGTCTGTGAGCTAGAAGTTTTTCCTTTTCTTTCCTACGTAGGTGCTTGTGTTCCCTTGCTAATTTCTGTATCCTCACAAACTTTTATTTCTGTCATTTGTTTTCGTGTTATGATTCGTTTTCAATTCCTTGTAGGAGAAGTATGTATTCCAACATCCACGGCCAAAGAAACCAAAGTCACTGAGAATATATGAATCTCATATCGGAATGAGTAGTCCGGTGTGCATCCCTACTCTTTCATGTAATTTTATAATTTTTGAATCTGAATTTTGATATCTCATTTCATGTTGGACCTGTCATGACTGCCGTATATGTGAACATTTAGTCATCAGAGCAGCTATTTCTCTAAAGTGGCTGTTGAAAGCCGAACTGAAGTGATTGTGGTTGATTAAGGTTTTGCCGTGTGGTTTTCTGAATGTTAACTTTATGAACCAGATGTTAATTCTTTTCTTGCTGTTCTAGAAATGGCATCTGAAGGCCCCTTTTCACATGTCGATATTATTCTTTACCAAGTAATCATCTTCCACAATAAAAGCACGACGGGATAGGCAGACTAGAAAACACTGAAAATTTGTCAAGTGCAAACACTTATGTATTTTTGACTCTTTTATTTTACTATTACTATTCTCTGTTTATTTGACCTAGTTTTCGAGAACTATATAAGAAAAAAAGTACTACCAGATACCTTTTTACTGTGCCAAGAGCTTTTGAATGTTTCCAGCTGTTTATATGGACTTCTTCATTTTTGTGATACTTTTGTATATGGATGTTATGATAGCAAGAGCTGATTCCTCGTGCATATATATCGTAGCTGCAAAATGTGATGCATCAGAGATGTGAATATTTGGCCCCTTTGTCTTTATCAAAAAAGAAATAAAATAAAATATTTTACCCCTTTTTCTATTCCATTTTCTCCCAAGATACTGGGACCGGAGTTAAATGCCATACGCATTTTCAAGAAGCTTTTAGTTATTTCTTATCTCAGTCTCCTTAAGTTTTGCTATTTGTCTGAACTATTGAGTTTATGTTGTTATCCTCTGACCCTAGAAATGGTTGTATATTTGTGATGCAGGAGCCTAAAATTAACTCATACGTGAATTTTCGAGATGAAGTTCTTCCTCGCATAAAAAAACTTGGATACAACGCTGTGCAAATTATGGCTATTCAAGAGCATTCTTATTATGCTAGTTTTGGGTAATTCTCGTTTTTACTGTTTGCATTTGTTTCCCTGGTTACTCTATATCTTCAGCAAGTCGTCTCAGTTTCTGATCTCGTCAACTGGTGCCAGTAACTGTTTTAACTGACTACTTTAGTATTTCTAATGGAACTTGTTATCCTTCTTTGTCTCAGTTATCATGTCACAAATTTTTTTGCACCAAGCAGCCGTTTTGGGACGCCTGATGACCTTAAGTCTTTGATTGATAAAGCTCATGAGCTAGGAATTGTTGTTCTCATGGACATTGTTCACAGGTATTAATTAATCTTTTACTATTGCAACTGTGTTTAGTGAATTTAAGGATCAAGTCTTTTTGTCATTTCATGTTTTTGATTGGTGACATATAGTTTTCCTTGTGAAGAACTAGTCAGTCTGATGGTGGGGATGTTGGACACTTACCGTAAAAATGCCTAAAAATTTGCCTTTTGCAATTGATGAATTATTAAATGCTGTAGCTTTCAATTATGTGGATTAGCTTTCCTGTCTACATATGATGAACGTTGATGCACACGTAAGAATAAATAACCAAGGAGAGGTGTGGAGATATTCTCCTTATTTTTCTGTAGGTGGGGAAATATTCATTAAGAAACATTAATCGCACATAATCTTTTCTGCCAGATGCATTATTGTACTCGATGCCTAAAAAATATTGTACACTGCCGACAGCTAGAAAGCATGTTCAGCTTGATATTCCAACAAGCTATTGGGGTTTAGACAGTTCGTAAACATGTTCTAACATAGGAAATGATACATATTTACAGTGATTGAGTCTCCTAGACGATTCCCAAGATTCTTAATTGATCTCTTAATTGATTCTCTTTGTTACAAGTAAACGTAATTTAATTCCACAGAAACAGCACCAAGTAGGTGCAGCTATATACAAAGCAAACACTCAGCCTTCCCTGTTTCTAACATCTAGGGAACTCAGGAATTCAAGTAAAGAGTTGACATCATAATATACATCTATCATCTTACTCCAGAAAGCATAAAAATATAAGCATGAATATCTAAGTTTGTGTACAGGGTTGGCTAAGCCGTCAAAGCATTTTCTGTTCATTTCCAGCCATATATCCAAAAAAGATATGCAGGGATGGTCATCCATGTCTTACTATTCTCCCTAACCAGCTCTCTTCCATTCCAGCAATGAGCTAGTTCCTTAACTGTCTTTAGTAATGCCCATTTTAGATTGTATAAGCTGAAAAACATGCATCACAATTTTCAGACTGCCTTGCAGTGTATGAAGAGGTGATTCACCTCTTCCTCATTTTCCTCACAAATGTAGCATTTGCTGCACAACATTATTCCCCTCCTTTGTAATTTTGATTGTGCCGAACATGCTTCATGTGCAGTTATCCAACAAAAGCTAGCCACCTTAAGTGGTGCTTTGCCCTTACAGATTATGGGTAATAGTACTCCATCTGTTGCAAAAAGTTCTATATCCAGACTTAGCAGTGTATTTCCCATCCTTTTGATGTCTCCATTTCGCTGTCGACTTCCTCTGACATATTCTGGCCCCTTCTAACTTCCCTATCAGATCAGTGAGACTCCCGATTCCCCCCACCCCACCACTTTTACTTTTTTTTTTTGAGAAAGGTTAGTGAGACTCCCAATTTCCCAGTCTTCACAGTTTCTCCTGAAAGATAATCCCGATCCTCTCCGTGACCAGTGTTGTGCTTCTGCTGCTTCAGTATTTATTCCCTTATAATGCAGGTCTGGAAATTCATCTTTAGTGGAATATGACCAATCCGAGCATCCTACCAAAATTTTATCCTGATGCCATTACCCATTGAGAAGTGTATGTATTTGACATAATCATTCTAGAGGTTTCTGATGCTTCCACAAGCCCACTCATTGAGGGCCTGTGACAGGTTTACTGGACTAACTGTTTTGCCCATGTTCGGCAATTATAACCTGCTTCCACAAGGGACTATTTACTGAGTTGCACCTCCATAATTATTTGAGTGAGAGGCTGTTTGCTTTATAGTGAACTTCTTAATGCCTAGATCTCCTTGTTTCCTGTTTTAAGTGACCACACTCCATTTTACTAGTAAAGAGTGTTCTTCTCCTTGTTACCACTCCATAAAGGTCTCTCCTCAATTGGTCTATTCTTTTTCCATTTTAGCGGGGAGAGGAAAAAGTGACATCACATACATGGGGAAGCTACTGGGTTTGTTGTTGTTGACATACATGGGGAAGCTGTGTAGTATATATCAGTTTAATTCTTCTGCCAGACATGTAGTGCTTCTTCCAGTTTGATAATCTCCTTTTGAGCTTCTCTATCACTCCTTGCTAAATGGCGTTGCTCTTATGTTTGGCTCCCAATTGCATTCCAAGTATGTGGTAGAAGTGATTCCACTTTTTCTGATTAGTGTAGAAGTTATTCTACTTTGCAATCAAGTCTATGCCAGGCAACTAATTTCGTGCACCTCATTGATGGGAAAGATGCTCTTTTTTGCCAGATTGATGTTCAATCCAGATAATACTTCAAAACTAGAAGTATTAGTCTCAAATATCTGAGTTGTAGCTCCTGTGCCTCACTGAAAAATAATATGTCCTCAGCATATAGTAAGTATGTTACCGTGATATCCTGATCACCGTGAAAATCCATACTGAACCCCTAATCCATTCTCTTTCTTTAGCATATTCCAGCTTCCAACCCATACCTTCCATCACAAGCAAGAATAGAAAAGGTGATAAAAAGGACCTCCTTGCCTCAATCCCCTTGAGATGGGAGAAAGCCTTCAGGACTTCCATTCATCAACACTGAAATTTAGACAGTAGATATACAGTTTATCCAGTTCATCCGTTTCTGCCCAAATCCCAAAGTGAAAACGATTAAAAAAACCTTAAGAGCAGTATGAACTTTTAAACCAAAAAAAGGAGGTTAAAAAGTGAAAAACATTGTACCTTTTGTACGATATTTTGTTGACTTCTGGATTTTGTACTGAGCTTGTGTACTACTATACTCGCTCCATTTTGAGTTCTGTTTTCTGTTCTTGTGGTTAAGGTGCAAGTGCATAGCTTTCAGATTAGGCTTTATTTTTTATTCCCATGGATCCATAAGTGAAAGAAATGGTGCTTAATTCTAACATCTGGTCGTAATAAGTGTTAATCTTTTTTTATTGGCACATATTTTCTATTGACAAGCTTTACTTTGTCCTTGACTTGCTGGAATCGTGCAACTTTTTTGCAGCCATGCATCAAATAATACTTTAGATGGGCTGAACATGTTTGATGGAACTGATAGTTGTTATTTTCACTCTGGATCTCGTGGTTATCATTGGATGTGGGATTCCCGCCTCTTTAACTATGGACACTGGGAGGTACTTTCTTCCTTTCAAATATGAGTCAACCAGAACCTTGTGCCTCGTGTCCATGGGTGTGACAGAAACTATGTTTCTTGTTATAGGTACTTAGGTATCTTCTCTCAAATGCGAGATGGTGGTTGGATGAGTTCAAATTTGATGGATTTAGATTTGATGGTGTGACATCAATGATGTATACTCACCACGGATTATCGGTAAAGTTGATCCAACATAATTTTTATACTCAATTTTGTGATCACAAGTGACAGCTTTTAGACAACAAGGTGCCTGGTAACTACCAAGTTATGGGAAAAAAACCTAGTTGACCTTTGTATCATTCTATGGAGTACGCAGCAGTTATTTAGCATTCTAGTAAGCAACTCACAAAGTAATTAGGCATCTAACTGCAACAATTCCTTTTTAGTACCATGGCCATTTATTAGCCAAGACATTATGATTTTAATATTATCTAGAAGAATTCGTACCTTCTCTTCATTTTATTTAGTATTACCCTGGTATTACCATTGTATAAAATCGGCTTCATTATTTTTTCCTCTTCTTTCATTGAATAAGCTAAATGCCTGCAATGTTAATTCTCTGCCTGAATGTCTAAGATAAATCTGTCCAATCAAATGGAAAAATAGTTTAGCGGATGTCTTGTACCCAAGGGTGTGGCCTAGTGGTCAATGAAGTGGAGGAGAACGATGAGGTCTGAAGTTCAAATCCTAGCGGAGACAAAAAACACCAGGTGATTTCTTCTCATCTGCCCAAGCCTTGGTGAGCTAAGTTATCCGGTACTTGTGTTGGTGGTAGGTTGCAGTTATGGGTGGAATTAGCCGAGTCACGTGCAAGCTGGCCCGGACACAAAAAAAAAAAAAAACAAAGTTTAGCGAAAATCTGTTGGTGGTTTTCATTTAAGAGGGAAAGTGGCCTCTTAAGGAGCTGAAGTACAATTTTTGTAGTTTACATTGAGTAGTTAATTTCCATTATTTTTGCCCTCTCTTTGGGTTGAGCAAACTTTGAGTTGCTTTTACTTGTAAAAAGTTGTTGAAAGAGATGAATTAGTACATATATATAGATTAAAGGTGTCTATGCGAATGAGATTACTATAAAACAGACAGACTAAATAGTTACATGATTTCCAAATTTGTATAAGTATGGAAGAACATGTTAGTCAACAATTTCCAATCGATCAATTCAACATGCTTTAATCCAATATTAGTTGAAGTCGACTATATGAATCTGCTGTATGTTGTTCCACCCTATTTAAGTTAATATTTAAAGGATTAATCAGAGTTGAACTACTTTTATGCTAACCTCAACCTAATGTGATCCCCCTCATCCAAGCTTGAGACTGGCTATACTTCGCAAGGCACACATAGGTGGGGTTGGTAAATACTTTCCCAATATCTACAGAATATAATGAAAAATTAAGGTTTATGAGAATCCTCTTTTTAGCTTCAGGAACTCTATAGTAGTTATACGCACAGCTAATGTCATACTATTTGGAAATATCAGTTTCCTTCTTCCTGCTTCATGTGTTTTACCAAGGTGGTCTCTCCAGTATTCTGCTAAACTACTTACCTGATGCATTTTTAATTTCTATAGGTGGCATTCACCGGGAACTACAATGAATATTTCGGATTTGCGACTGATGTGGATGCTGTGGTGTATTTGATGCTTGTCAATGATCTTATTCACAGGCTTTTCCCAGATGCGATTACCATTGGTGAAGATGTAAGTACTTGTCACATTGACCTTATGGTGACTGGAATGCTCTGAGATTGTGTAAAATCCAATGAGACCTCAGTATGCTGAATTTCTGATGGTAGGATCTTCAAGCTGGAGGATACCATCTGCTAACACCACCAATAAAGTATTTATGAAAAATTTCAATAATTTTAAAAAAACAGCTTAGAGAATCAATTTGGTTATGACGTCAGGGGATATAAGATTTTGTTCTAAGAGGAGTCTGGTTCACTTTTCAGAAAACTACTGCTTAGAAAAGTTTATGTTTTAATGTCTCCGAACTGCTTCTCCAAATTCTCATCTTCCTGAACCCTGTTCAAAGTGAAATATGAAGTTTCATTGTTCCCCATCTCTAATATAGTTATAGAATTCCCTTAATTAACGCAAGTGGAAATCCAGTATAGAAAGTAGGAACTTCTTGTTCATTCTCCAGTGACAACAAGTCCATTCTGCTGACTGGAGTTTTTTCTGATCTCCAGAATAAATTTAAAAGAGAAAGGTCTTTGCTCCTAATTTTTCTCCAATGGATTTCTACCTTATTATTATCCCCTCATGTCAGATCATCCTCTCCTTATCTCCTCTGTGGCCATCTTAACTTTCCCCATCAGAGTGTTCAATCAAGCATCACCTGTGGCAATATCTCAAATTAAATACTGTTGGAATGATGCTAACTATCTTACCTTCCCTGGTTATTTTTATTTTGAGATGGATCAGTTCATTCTTCAGACAATGGGGTCATAGTTTTGTTACATATGTTTTGATGCCCTTTATTCACTGCTAATGTTGGTCAAGCCTGATTTTGCCCATGTCGACTTTAACGTATAACTAAAGATAAAAAATTATCTGAAGATTTATTGCTCTTAAAAACATTTTCTGTTTCAATTTTTAAGTTTCAAGATAGCTCTGCAAAAGACAACGTGAAGTCTCTGCTTTCCATATGCTCGTATTTCTTATCTGAGGATCTATTCTTTCCTTTAAATGGCTTACTGGGTATGATGGATGTATTTGTACAGCCTGTTGTAAAAATTCAACATAATGTATGCGACTTATGTGGGATTGATACCTTGGGCAATTAGTGTTAAGATCAGGTTAGCAGGCCGAGGATAAAGTTTCAATGGTCAAGGTAGCATATTCTCTAAAAGTAGTTCCTTTATAAGTTAGTGGTCTGACTATTCCTTTTAAGGTCAAGACCCTTATGCTAAGTTGACTAAAAGCGAGCATGATCTTCATGAAAATGGAGGGGATGCACAATGTGGTAGTAGCAACTCTTACTACAGCCTTAAAAAATTCATTATATACATTCTTTTTTCCTCGTTGTTTCCTATAGAGTGGATGTGGATGTTCATTTGGTCTTTCGGAAGACCAATAGGAAGCACTTAGTTTTAAACTTCTTATCCTCGTTGTTGTTGTCTTTCTTTGGTTCAATATTACAGCCAAGCCTCTTTCTAGGTTTATTTGAAATTTTTGTTCTCTTGATAACACTCACTTCATTGTTAATTCTATTTCACATTCTTAATTTCTGATTATCGTATATGGAACTTAATTATGGGCTTGCTCTGTTATATGTCTTTATTTTCTCCTTCTTCTGAGTGTATAACTCCGTTAGGTTCTCCCTAGCCCTTTTTTTGGAAGGGTACAAAACCTTTGCCTGGTCTTGGTGCATGAATGGTATACTACTGGCTGAATTGCGTGTGCTACCTCATCTAAATGCTTTATTTGTCTTTAACAATAACAATGGCCTATTACTTCATCAAAAAAATAAAAACAAAAATAAATAACAATGGCCTATTAGACTTTCAAGAGCCCAATAAGGTGATTTCCGTTAATAGTGCGTGTTGCATGGGAGTACTTGTTTGTGATGATATTGTACTTTATTTATAACGAAGTAACTTATCAAATATAAAATAGTTATGGTTGGAAGTATTTGATTAATCTGAGCAATATGTCTGGTTACTAACTCTGAATGGATTATTGTTTATCAGACGTAAATTTTATATTCGCAAAGAAGGGAAGATATCGGCAAATGTTTTGCTATGGTAACTGTTTAGTGTGTTCGGGGCATCTGGTGATGCAAGGATTTTTAAGGACAAGTTTTCTTCTCAAAAGAGTTTATAGTATAAGTAGTGTCCTTATAAGGAGTTGGGTGACTTTTCCTGATCTGCTTGGTTTTCTTCTTTATATGGAGGACTCTGTATGCTTGTCCTTGGTACTACTGTATGCTTTTCAAAGGTTCTTCTTTTATGAAACAGATATTTATGCTAATTGCAAATTATGCAATGTGAAGAGAAAGGACATTTTACTCTTTATGGGCTGCTACTCTTCTGATCACACTCTTAATGCTCTACTCTTTTTGCTACTAATTTCAGGTTAGTGGAATGCCGACATTTTGTATTCCCGTTCAAGATGGGGGTGTTGGCTTTGACTATCGGCTGCATATGGCAATTGCTGATAAATGGATTGAGTTGCTCAAGTATGCTGTTTCTAAAGCTTCAAATGCTTATCCCTGAAATTATAAAAAGTATATTTTTTGATGAAGTAAATTAATTTGATAAATATATGGGAAAGACACTGTATACAAGAAGTATACCAAAAATAGAGAACATAAAATTAGTGTGTAGATGATGTCAATTCGAAGTTTACAATAGACGAGGCAACTCAAGCACAACCACTGAAACATTTTAATGTGGTCTACACTGCATAATTGCATATCTTTTTTGCTGTTCCTTGTACATTTTTCTTTCCTTTTCTGAGAGCCTATTTTGAGGGATAGTAACTGGTCTAGAGAAAAGTAGTTACATATTCTCTTTAGGTTTTACTGGAGCCCTCTGTTAACTCGTGAAGTTTTGTCATGAATGCTGCAAGATAAGATTCTTAGTAAGCAGCAATCTGAATCACTCAAGAGTCAACAGGATTTTTTCCAGGCGAAAACCATCTGCACTAGCTTCTTTTGCCTTTTTATTTGTTTTCAATGGGCAGCAGTTCTGATGGTGATGGTACACTAATCAGGATACATGGACTCGTGCAATCAAGCCAGCCTATCTCCTTTTAATCGCTAGCCTAAACCCGTGTTTGATATTTCAAATTTATTCTAATCTAGAAGCATCCGAACCATTTTCCAGGGTGAGGCATAAGTTCAACAAAGGGAGAGTAGTGGAGGTAGCTTGTTTACCTTGTATATGGAGGAAGGCAATGTTAGTCTTGTATAGGGGAAAGAAATGGGAAAACAAGTTATGTTTGCCTAAGAAAAATAATGGTGCCATCTTGTAGGAAGTGTTTCACTGTTTTGGTAATTTCTCAATGTCTGAGTGGTGTAATGTTTGGTTATGTGAACTAGTATTGGTTTCGAACTATCTTCTTAAGTGAGGCGAAGATGCACGTGCTCTTGTTGTGAGACAACTTTGAAAGATTATTCTGCAGTTGTCCAACTATCATCAAATGATTTCAGTGTTGATGCTATTATGCTGGGTGGCAATGCGTGTCTACTACTTGTTTGACCATATGCTCTCTCTATCCAGAATACAGAACACTCGCTTGCTCTCAGGATATGCTCCTTAATATTTTGTGTTTTGACTTCAGTTAATTTCCAGCAGTTCATATTTTTCTCTATGTGCAAGTCGCTTATCTAGAAAACTCATTTTTCTAACTCTGTTTGTTACAGGAAAAGGGATGAGGATTGGAGAGTGGGTGATATTGTTCATACACTGACAAATAGAAGATGGTCGGAAAAGTGTGTTTCATATGCGGAAAGTCATGATCAAGCTCTAGTTGGTGATAAAACTATAGCATTCTGGTTGATGGACAAGGTTATATATACTTTTTCTGTCTTTTCTCAGCAATCAAATTGAAACTTAAGATTGGGCATGCCACTTGAAGGAGAACTTTAGTTTTGCATTATTAACTCATCCATTTATTCGAGGGAGAAGTCTGCATTCTTTCACCTACCATTTCTATTAGAACAACAACAACAAACCCAGTGTAATCCCACAAGTGGGGTCTTGGGAGGGTAGAGTATACGCAAACCTTACCCCGACCTTGGGAAGGTAGAGAGGCTGTTTCCACCAGTTCTATTAGATATTCTATAATTTCACGAAACTATCAGCTTCATTTCCGAAGTAAATTTTCTCTGAAGGATGTATTCATACATGAATCTACTACTTTCTCCCTTTTAAAAAAGCACCGTCATGTTCTTTTATAAGCTGGATATTTTTTGTGTATTTTGATGATTACCCTTTTTATTTCTCTAATAGTAATGCGTGAGCATGAATATCCCATGTCCTGTCCTATTAGCTTTACAACAGAATGGAGTTGTTAACACGCAATTATGTCAACTATGAGTCTAAATAATGCTCCAAAATTACGTCTTCAAGGGCTAGAGCTGTGTGTTTTCTTGATTTAGTTTATCAAGTTCTCATGTAATTCTTTAATCCCCCCCCCCCAA